GTAGTTATTAAAAGTTGTTGTGACCTGATGGCTGCTTGGTGCCATCAGTCCTGTTCTTAGTGACTTTCTCTCTTGGCCCTATGGGCTTCCTAATTTACAATTGGACATGTAATTAGTCTTATAGAATAATATGATTTCTAATTACATCTAAAAGCTTTTAGCTCTCAAATCAGAGGGTCCGGTATTTCTCCATGTTTCACAACTCATCAGTGTGCCCAGCCCATTGATACCATATACCAAAGGGCTGTTTACAGCTGGCTTTACCACAACAGAAGAAAGAGGACTTTAAAACAATCAAAAACCGCTATCTCCAATTGCCACTCGATGTCACCACCATTAGTGGGTGAATTTCTTGTAGGCATCACAGCCGAAGTAGGTCCTGAAGAGGAATTTGAAGAAGGAGAAAGTAGTGGCCTCAAAGATTAGTACAGGAATAGATTCAAGGCTGGAATCCTTGATGGAGAAGATGGGGATGGGGACAGTGCCATTAGTTGACAAGGGGAACCAGAAAAATTGCATTTACTGATCCCAGTAGGACTCAAGATTTAAACTCCAGAATGTAGTTTAGTTAGCAAAAGGAAGATGGCAATCTGTTTGGCAGATATCACTATAGTAGCATGTGTTTTCTGGCTCTGAGTAGCAGGAGATACAAACTTTTTCTAATAATTAACATACACTTAATATCTCTGATCCAATTCCTGCCATCCTCTAGGATGTAGCTGTAGGCCAGGGAGGAATTCCCAAGGTTGCAATAACGCCACTGTTTTCTCTGTAGCCTCTAGGGACTTTCCTTCCCTTTCAGTTATTACACATAATATTTGCACCAAGTCTGTGTACTGGGGTGTGGTATTAGAGTACAGCATTTGTCTCTGAGTACTCACTTGGGCACATCTCCCATTAAGTTGAATAGAAGTCTTGCCTGAGAAAGGACTCAAGATTTGGCTCTCTGAAAACAGTAGTCACTGCCTTCTGAGGGTCAAAGTTTCACATCTTGAATTTTTGTTTGTCTTTTATGATAAGGTCAAAGCTGAGCTTGACCCCTGAAACTCAAATGTTAAACCAAAACCAGAATGCTATAGCTTTACTACCATCTAACATGTCCCTAAATTCAGCCCTCACAGCAGGCATTCTTCCTTTCCAGCCTTTGCACTTGATTTGTGTGCAGGCTGGCCATATGGTGTGTGTAATTATTCTTTTATAATGCTGTTATTGCTCTCTAGTTGCCCAGTAAACCCAGCACAATTTCAGTAAACTGTATACATCAGGGCAGAAATCTTAGACTTGACTGATTTTCTGCACCTTTATGCAATGGTAGGTGCAAAGAAAAAAGGTTCCATTTGATTTATGGAAACTGTATAAAGTTTATAGAGTCTCTACAACCCTCACAAATGAAGAAGGCTTGTAGAGAGGGGAGGCTGCATCAAAACTGGGAGGTCCACAAAACTAGAGGAGAAAAACACTTAAGGCACATGTCAGTAAATACCTGTGTGGACCTTTCCCCCATTAATTCTCCAGATCAGCATATGGACTGCATAAGCTGTTATATTCTTTTCCCAGTCCAATTACTGCTACGCTGTAGCACTGGAATATCACATAGGCGATTACTGTGTTTCTGTCAGGGTCACTGTTCTTCCTTGTAGCAGTTTTGTGCCCAGTGATTATTCTCTGTAGAAATTATGTCCTGAATTTTCATATGGTTGTGGGCAAAAGCATGAGCATGCCTAAGTATGTAAATCATCTGATGTACAAGTTGGATTTGTGTGCACACATCTGCATGTATATGTGCAACCCAGCCTTGCGTGCATCGCAGGATTCATATAGCTAAATTAGCTGTATGCCATACTGTACGCTCGCTTTTGCAGGTACCCATTTGTAACATGCAGCCTGCAGAATATTTTTTCTTTACCCTAGAAACAATGATGCACAAACTGATTGGGATAAAATAGAAACTGACCAAAATGAAACCTCTTCTGAGTTAGAAAATGTTAACTTCCCTTCTCCCATCTCTGACTTTTGTATGCTTCTGGACTACCTGGTTTCACCTGGGGCAGAAATTCCAGAATACTGCTCTGACAGTATTTTCTTCCTAACTAGAATTGGAAAAACACTAATCTAGTCTCCTGATATCTCCAGTCCTTTTCTAAACCAAAAAAGATATACATCCCTCGCTTTGTAGGACAGCCAGCACATAGCCTGGGTAGACTCAGTTTCCTGACCATATATAACGCCATTTCTGGTGCTTTACAGGCTGTCAAAAGGGGGGGAGGTGCTGGAAGCATGTGCCATTGTCCATACTTTATATTGAAACCTGCAGGTAATAGATGATACTTTTTTTATTGATATTCTAAAGCCATAAATGTGACCTTTCAGTTTCACGTGTGAGGAAATCTGTGCACATACTTTCTGAAATATTTTGGGGGAAAAAAGCCAATAGCAATAATTAGTTTGGCATTTTTTGTGATTTCTAAAGCACTTAAAGGGTAATGAATTTCTTTTATTCAGTCCTACATAAAATCAGATTTTACAGAAATAAGCTGATTTAAAAGGCTTGAATGGCTGGCAGTGACAGATACAATTCACACTGAAAGCTCAATTCCTATACATCAAAATAAAAAAAATTGTATGTGTCATTAGAGGTTGCTGATTCTTGAATTAAAATGATCAAAAAGCACAATATTAAAATGTGATTGATGGAAGCTACTGCTTAATCCATAATTAGGCTGACCAATAAAAACAATTCAGACTTCTACAGGACATGCTTACCCAGCAGGTAGCTTAGCTATTATTTTCTTATTGCTAAAGAAACAAAATAATGTAAATATATTTGTGATATGCTCTTCAAGTAAGTTGAAACACAACATGACTAGTTTAATATGGTATTTTTGTTAGCAAGTTGTCAAATTTCCTTCATTTAAGTGAAAGCTGAGAACCACTTGAGAATAACTGTATGTCTGAAATGAAAATATTTTCTCTTTAATCTCTTTCAGTTAAAAGAAATGTGGGTGTTACTTTTTATAATAGTAGGTAAATAGAAGTCAGGCAAAAATATGACTTTTTTTTTTATGCTGTCCCTTTTGTTTAATAGGGAAATATACCATTTGCTGAGTCCTTTTACATTAGGTTGTAAACTCTTTTTGTGGCGAGGACTGTGTCTTCCTAAGTACTTGTACAACACATAGCATAATGGGGCACTAGTCCTAATTGGAGACTGTTGGTGTTATCACAATATAAATAATAATAAATTCTTTGAGGGAAGTTGGCATTTTGATGCAAAATACAATAGCTCAGAGGTTCGGAAGATGAGAGTCTTATCTAATGGCTTAAATCAAGATGGGAACATTTCCCTAAAAGATGCGTAAATCAAACTTTTTATAATGAGACTTGTGCCTATCATGACTCATACCTATCATGGTGACCGATATTGTCTCATTGTTTCTTTATACTTCCCCCATCAGTTATCCCTTGTTTTATACTTAAATTATAAGCTCCTGGGGGCAAGGACCATCATTTTGTTCTGTTTCTACATTGCTTAGTACAATGGAGTCCTGGTCCATGGCTCGGACTCCTAGGTACTATTATTATTACTACTGCTATTAGTTTTTGGCCAAACCCACGACTGATGTCAATTGGTATAGCCCAGTGGTGCTATGCTGATTCACAGCATCTGGCTCTTTATCTTTCTTCCTGCTAAATTTAGCCACTAAAATTTGCTTTTATCTTAATGGAAATAGATTTAGTTCATGTTGTTAATTTAGGTTTTAAATATTTAAAGTTAATAAAATCTAGGCTACTTAGTCTTCTAGTATTTAGAAATGGAAAACACTTGTTACTGTTACTTGTTAGGTAATCAAGAACATCTCTCAGTGAATGCAGGATTTAGTATCCCAATATCAGATAATAACCTCATATTACAGTAGATCTTAGCCAAAAGCCTGTCTCTAAAGCATCTTTAAAGGGGTAAAGGCTTCATTCTAATTCTTTCATTACCAAAACCAAAAATTCACTGTTCATAGCAACTACATGTATTCTTATTTTTAAAACAGTTTAGCTCATAACTGAAGTAGCAATGGCTAGTCTTTCACTTAATCCCATGCATGAAAGCTTAAAATGGAGAGAAACTGTAATCTTCTCCATCTTTGAACCTTTTCCCCAACTCCCATTTGTCACTCATATAAAGTGTCTAGACAGCCTATATTCACTGCACCCATTTTAGGCTGACGTACTCCCAGCAGCAGGCAACATCTCATCATGGCAATAATAGAAAAATACATCATCATAATAGTCTGTAGTGTTTTTTCATCCATAGATCTAAATATAATTATCCTTTACACTTTTTATTGATGGGGAGACAGAGGGAGGTTTAGCACTATTATTTTCAAAATGCGCATGCAAAAACCCTGGAGCATTATGCCATCCCGAGTGTCTCCGGGTCCTGATTATCCCACAAGTTGATCTGTGTGAGTGGAACTGTGCTTGTGCAGAGCCCTATTAACTGGAATAGAGCTCTGTGCACACAGAAGGGTTTACCTTTATGAATCAGCTGCTAGAATCTGGGTCTCTGTGGTTTTACACAGAGGCGTAAAATGTAGGCGTAAGTGGTTAGCCCAGGGTCACATGCTGAGTCCATGGGATTCATGCTGAGTGGCAAGAGGGGTAGCTTTCCCATGTATGTGCCTACCGTCTCAAATGGCTATGTATTCACAGCAGCTGGACCCTCATGCCACTGCAGCGACACTCTATTTTTAGCATGCTAATTGGATCAGAGCTAGCACAGGTATGCCTCCTTGAGCTGGGAATTACACCCCCAACTCAAAGTGTAGACATACCCCATGTCAGAGCCAGAAATCAAACCAAGGTCTCCTGACTCACAGTACTGTGTGTGATCCACTGGCCACACAACTTCTTTATTGTATGGGGTTTGATTATTTTTGTAATGCATTAGAAACTGCTGTGAATTTTTCCACTTCTGAAAAATAAATCACCTACTTTTTTATTTGTAGTGGAGAGGGAAAATGTGCAGAAGAGAACCTTTACCAGGTGGATAAATCTACATTTGGAGAAGGTAAGGCCAACAAATACTTTTGTCCATTTGTAAAAATAAAAACTGTTCATACATCTTCCATAAATACCTCCATACTAAGATATATACACACACACACACACACCTGTCTGCTGAAAACGTAACTTCTGCCTTACCCAGGCATATTTCTTGATTTCATGTTCCTTCTGGTGTTATTCATATATACTGTTACTGTAAAGAGTTTTAGAATACAGTATGCCTATATAAAATATAGGCCTGATCCTACTACATTCCTTTTGCTGGACTGGTTCCTTAGGTTATACTCTACTGGAGCCCTGAAAAGAATGATTCTCCAGAAAAGAAAATGGTTGTCAACAAAAGAAGGGTTAAAGCTAAAATTACACATCTGTGGTGTGAAGGAAAAGTGGAAACTAGCTATATACTGATATGTAAGAACAACACAATGCAAAAAGCATTTAAAAAGTGTCAGATTAAAGACTCTGGAAATTCAGGATTATTCTTATTTTAAAAGAAAATAAATAGCGAAGTTGAAATGTTTCTTTATTTTGTGGGGAAGGTTGAGGGCGTGTTCCTGTGTGGGTGAAAGGCGCTTTTCTGTTGCTTTGATTCATTGGCTGACTGAGTTTATTTGTTACATGTGTATGATTATTTAATGCTGCGGGGTAGTCATTATGTGATTAAATTAATTAATTGTTAGCGTTAGGGCACATGGAAATTTCTGCATAGGAGATTATTATTTTCTTTTTAAATCTAAAGAAATAACGGAGAAATAGATATGTGTGGTTTGGTTGCTCTGGGCATCACATTGGGAAATACATCATAGAAATTTGACAATGTCCTTTTCAAATTGGATTAGCAAGTCAGAGTTCTAAATGTCATGTTTAAGATACATGCATTCCTTGAAACATAGCTCAACCTTTCATCTCAGGTTGATAATTTAAGTTCCTTGTATTTTATTATTTGTGGGTTGGTAAGATGAGACCTTAAAAATGAGGTCTTTTCTGCTCTTTGTAGATATTAAAGACCCCATGGGATTTTTCATAATGAGCCATTTGTCTCAATCTCCTC